ATAATAATGAGCGGGCTTGAAATTATCCGGTTTTGTTTAAGAGCTCTGCTTTTTTTCCTTCTGATGAATTTCCATGTTATTATTTCAGGCGTTTTTCGCTTAATCGAACAAATTTTATCTCAGTGAAATGTATTAGACACAATTATAGCTTTTATTCTTGAATATAAGTAAACATATATTTATTTTTTTGACTTTACTGCTGTTTTTTGAGCTATCGCAACCAGTTGCTTAAGATATCTTCGGACTGCTTGAATTGGAGCTGTAATGCGTCATACTGCTGCTATTTGATTATTGTCTTTTGTGAGGTAGTTATCTTTGCTAGCATCCTCAAACATGCTAGTCACTCATTTTTTAGGCATTAATTTTATGCTTTGTTTTGCTTTTTTGTTCTTTTTATTTGTATTTGTTTTCTTCCGCTTTTCTATTCTTACTCCTGCAAAGCACTGCGTATTTCTCCTCTTTTTTGACTATACTGATATATTCCCTAAAATTTAGATTTCTTCATTAATACCAAGAAGATTCAAATGTTATGATGATGAAGCCCAAATTTTAATACTTGAACCGGAATATTTTCTTTCAATTTCGCTCAGTTTGTGAATTTATCCATGAATTCTGCGTCTCTTTTCCCGTACAAATTCATTTTTATTTCATCTTTCAGCAATTCGGATGTTATCATTATCAAAGTTTATTTATTATCAATCAATTAGTCGATCATTACTACGGGTTCCTTGTATTATTGACCAATCACTGTTTGTATTGGTTTTTCACTTAATTTACAGCATATTATTGCATTTTTATACGAATCACAGACTACTGATGTGTGTGTGTGTTTTTTTTCGTTTTTTCTGTTATCTTGACTTTTTTGTGAAATACAACCCCTCAAACTATTGCGAAGAAAGAACTTGAAGTTTTTCTTGCACAGCATTAACATCTTAATTTAGCATTAATAGGACTAGGCTATACGTTGGAAATGCTTTAGGGATGTTGAAAGACATAGGATACATAACTTAAAAATTTCAGCTCCCCAGCTTTTGTGGTTCTCGCTTTCATGAGCCGTGCTTGAAAACCATGCACGCTTGGGAAATGAATTTGAAATATTCATGTTGTATAAATGGACAGCCAGTTTAGTCAGTGAAGACTGAACAAAATTCGGAACTCACTAAAATACATAAATGTGGTGCCCAACTACATGTTTTGTAAGCAATGTACACGCGACCTTGATATGTGAACCTTTGATACGTACTTAGTTAATGTTGCAAAAAGTTGCAAAAAACATAGAATCAAGCCGGAACAATGGTGCAAAGTGTTTCCTTTTACTGCAGCTGGCACTTCTGAGAACTCCTACGTTCCCGCACTTTCATGCTATTTTTGCATATTCAATTAGATATATTGCTTCAGCACGGTTTAAGGGCGCCAATATTTGGGCGCGAGGTGATGACGCCGGTTACACAAGCAGGACCGAATCGTCTTGGAACAGCTTCTTACCTGACTTTTTGTCGGGAAACCGGGGGCGAACTGTCGTTTGAGAAACCGAAACAGATCCAGGATCAAGTCGTCTAAATGGTCAACGATTCAGCACTGGACAAAGTATACAGAAAAGTTGCCAACTGCATAGTTTGAAAAACATGCAATGAAATGCAGCTGTTTCAAGTATTCCAAAGCACATAAAGAGACTTTAGAAAATAGAGCACTCTCAGACCATGATATTGCCAAAATAAAATGTTTCTTTCTCAAATTTTGCTTCGCGAACCGATGCATGTTTAGAAAGTCCATCTTTTCATCAACACATTGCTCTCATAATAAAAGTGCTGGCTCATAACTGACAGACAGTGGCTTTCCGTACCATCGATTAAGTTTCTTTTCTTTCTCTCTTTTCGTACTCTCTCTGTTGTTATTCTGTCTTTAGCCTATCCATTTTGCAAATTAGTCACATGACTGTTCAGTACATGCGGCTAAGAAGCTGTATTGATGATTCCCACTCCTGCACGTGCGCAAAGTTCAGTCTGAGTTTACAGTTAAGGGATGAAACAGAGAATGCATTGTAACATAATGTCATTTTACACATGACGCTTAGTCCAATCTCATCTGTTCTACCATTTAAGAATCTTGTCTGGATGCCTATTGACAATAGAAGAAGCAATTTATTAGTCATATGCCGCCATTGTACTTACAAGAATACAATGAATTCTATCAGTGCGCCGCAATAGCTATCCGACGCCAAGACCGGGATTTAGAGGTGCAAGAGTAGCAGGTAGTGGAAACAGAGTTGGTATGTTCATTGTTGGAAAAGTAATCGGCTGGAATGGATTAGCATTAGCGGCGGGAGCAAAGCCAGCTGCTGGCGGTAAGTTTGCTGCTGCTGGTGCCCCTGCATTAGCTGCTCCCGGTGCTCCGAGTGGTGGAAATAGGGTTGCTGGCGCTGCTCCATTTGCATTAGCTGGTGCTCCAGGCGGAGGAAATAAAGTTGCTGGTGCTGCTGCTGGCACCGCTAGTCCGTTAAGCATCCGCTTGCTTTTTGTCTGAAAATATGTCTTTTTTACAGAACTGGAGGATATATGCACCTAAAGTGCTTGCTTCTTTTCAAAAAATTTTTTTTCAAAATCTTTAGCAGTTTTTGGGAATCATATCTGCTTACAATTATACATTCGACGAATCTTACGTCAATAATTAAGCTGTTAACTACTACCTCAGCTACTGAGCCACAGCTGCCAAAATAAATCTAGTCACTGATAATAACTTTAATAATTATACCATTAGCGACAATAAAAAGCCAAAATGTTATCCATGTTCCGAAACAAGTACTTTATAGGGAGGACGGGGAGAGGATCAGTTTCCTGATGGATCATTTATGGCGAAATTTTGCTGGGTGAGCAAAGACCAAAAATTAACAACAAAACAAGATTATATAAAGTAATTCATATAAAGCAAATATCAGATTTTTTACTTAAGTTCACTGAAAACGCAAGTATCTAACATAAGCCTATCTTAAAAGTCGAAAACTCATTTATTAGCAAAGTTCGAGTATTCAGTGGCCACTGCCACTGGTTATTGCTTGTGAACATTGATAATGGTTCATTTCCTTCGCTGACATATTGAGTTCTGGTGTTAAAAATACGACAATTAAATTTGAAATTTGGAAGAAATAAACGAATAAGTAGTTTCAAAGAGGCTTACGCGACGGCTGTAATCGGGAAAGCTTCCAGCATGTCCAAATGTTGAGAGCATCATGATGGTCACAAGGAGGAAAAATGAACTCTTTCTCATCATTTTTCACAT